CTAAACCCAGAGTCCCAAGCCTCAGGGTTTCTCCTCCTGGAGATGGAAACATTGCTAGCACACCACTACTGCATCATCCTGGGGGTAGGGTAGTGATGGTTTGCAGGGAGATGTAGCTCCTTGCGCTGCACCAGACCCTCCATCCTGCCACCAAGAGCACCTCAAAATGACCACAAATGATGGAGTTTGGATATCTTAAGACAGTTGCATGTACCAACCAAAGGAGAGAGCTGCGTACTTCCCTACTCATCCCAACCTGCCTGCTCCTGCCCTTGCCCCACAGTCTCTGGGCAGTGATATATGGCACAGACCCATTAGCATCTCTGCAGCCAAAGCTCCTCAGCTTTGCTATCTGCCCCTCTACAAGCAAGCTGGTCCATCAAGAAATGACCACTCTCCCCCAAACCAGCCAGCAGCCCCACAGCCCAAGGGGGAAGCAAATTGGAAGAGGGAAAACAACGCTGTAAGGTTTCCACCACCTTAGACACTGTGGTCAGACACTGGAATAGTTGCCCAGAGAAGCTGTGGCTGCCCCTTCCTGGAAGGTTTTACAGGCTGGATGAGGCTTTGAGCAACCTGGTCTAGTGGAAGGTGTCCCTGCTGATGGCTGGGGGGTTGGAACTAGATGATCTTTAAGGTCCCTTCCAACCCAAACCATTCTATGATTAGGTAACACAAGCACAAAGATGAACAGGGTTAAAAATGCCAACAAAGCCCTCGGTGGGGACAAAACATCCCTGGTCAGAGGGCAGCAGATTGCTTTGCAGACATAGACCTGCTCCCAAGGAACCCACGATCAAACTGCAGCCACCACAATCACGTAGCAGGATAAATAAGCACCGGGGTGCCAAAGCTGAGTGCCCTGACCACTGATCCCACCCATGCTTCATACAGCCCCCGGTACCCCCCTGCATTTTTGGCATGGGCACAGATGGCACACGCCAGCAATGACATGCCCTCCTGAATTTCTCTCTTTGCTTTCACAAGTTTGCACACAGAAAATGACGGGAGAGGAGGTGGCCTGGCAGTGGGGGGAAGGAGGTTTTTAATTACTGGAGTGTAGTAATTGGCACACAACACTTTTTTTTGTTGCCTCTTATGCGGATCGTTGGTGTTCCAGAGGGCTGGGCTGGAGAGCACAGATTGTCTCAACCCAGCAGGACACACAAGAAATGAATAATGTTAATTAGAACTGAAAAGAGCTCAGTGAAATTACCAACCTGATTGCTGCTTTCATTGCAATTATCAGGGTACAAGCTCCATCGTGGGGAGGCAGAGATGGGGCTAAACCTGGCTCACCCCAGCAAATTTGGTGGCCCAACCTGGGGCTGTGACCAAGCTGACTTCCCCTGCATGCTGGGCTCACTTCTCCTTC